GTGAGCCTGCCTCTCCCAGACCCCAGCCCCCTGCTTCTCCCAGGGGAGGCTTTCTCACCTCGTCCTCTGCCCCCCAGCTTTAGGCCCGTGGGAATATGTGGGGTCCCAAGCTGACTCAGGCCTGGCTTTTGCCTCTCAAAGGCCCTTTAGAGATCATTTATTTTGAAGTTATTGAAGTGGCTTTTCCATTTAATGACAATAGAAGCTGGAATTAAGTGAGGCTCCTGGGGAGGATGGCGGGGGAGAGAAAAATGGGCAGAGCGGATGAGACGCTTGCGGGCTGAGTGTGGACAACGCGCTCAGTGCTGCAAATCCAATAGCGGCATCGGCTTTACACCAAGTCCGTGTGTCCAAGGACCAGGCAAATGCACCCCCGCAGGGGGTGAGGAGCATCCTCAGGCCACACCCCACTAACCACAGCAGGAGACCTGCAGTGCAGGCTTAGAGGCCTGCCCGGGGCACCCGCTGCACGTGCACAGGCTGCCCCACCCCAGCATGTGGACCATCCTCGAGGCACAGCTGGGCTGCTGCGCCTCTGCGCAGAGTCCATAGTCCAGGTAGGAGGAGTAGAGGAAGGCAAAGGGGCAGCTGCACAGGGACCTCTGCCATTTAGGAAGGGACACCCACCCACCCACCACATTTCAGAGGCTGCCTGGCTGCAAAGGAGCCTGAGCAGGTGAGGAGCCTGACCTGGCACAATCGCTCAGGAAAACCTGGCATCCTTCCGGGGGGCAGATGGACACAGGGTTGGCGATTACAGTGTTGCCAAGAGATGTCCAGGACAGCATCCAGGACTCCCTCCTGACTCTCTGCCATGGGGGCTGAGGGTATGTCTCTGAAAACTGGGTGCCTCACTTGAGACCGGGGCTGGAAGAGCCGTCTGCAGTCATCGGCAGCAGCCTCTCCTAAGTGTCAGTGGTGGAGTGCCAGCGGCCGGTGCAGCTGCGCCTGGATCTGTTCATGTCCACCTGGGTGATTCTGCCTACCTCGTGCCAGGCCTCGGGGAACACAACTGGATGCGGCAGAGAGGTCGAAAGAGACAGGCTTGGTTCTCATCACTGGCTGGTTGGGAGATACTAGGAGGTGGAACACTTTTGCAAGGAGGAGCGCAGATCTCAGCGCTGTCGTGCTCACAACTATGATTTACTATAGCAAAAGGACAGAGCAAAGCCAGCCATGGAACAGACCAGCACACACCATGTGTGTGCACATTGACCTGTGACAACACGTGCTAGTGCTGTCAACCAGGAAGCTTGTGAGAGACTCAATGCCCAGGGATATCACGAGGGCTGGTCACATTGGCATCTCTGCCTGGCACGTACCCAGACTGCAGACACCCAGGAGGAGGCAGGTGTTCCGCATAAATCATGACATCTGCACAAACAGTTCAGATAGAGTGGGCCGCTCTTATCAGGGATCAGTGGGAATGCTTCCCAAATCCCAGTTCACAGGCGCCAGCAGAGGGCCACCTGCTGGTCCCTTCTGAGGATGGTGGTCACAGGCCTGCCATGCTGCCACATTTCTGCACAACACCCCGTCTTTTATCACGTAGTGGTTAGCTCTCTCAGCTGTAAAGGTGGGGATGTGAACACCCCCTTGCAGACTTGTCAGGGTTAATGAGATGACCACCTTGAACATCCTGCACAGGGTCCCACACAGAGTGCGGAGCACCTTTGTTCTCTCCCTTCAAAAGTCCTCACAGCCCCCAAACGATCATCTGTGTTCGGAAGGAGCAAGAGCCAGTGTGAACCATGAATCACGATCCCCCTATGCCCGTGGCCTCTCCTCTACCTAGTGAGAGTTCCAAGAGTTTTGAGAAATGCGAAGTTTCCCTTATTGCTGGCTACTGTGTGATTTTTGTAAGGACGAGCAGGCCACATGCTCATGTTTCAGGTGTACACACACAGGCACCCATTGGCTCTGGTGGCTTCGGTGCAGTGTCCCACTTGATGAGAAGTGACAGGAGTGCACCCCTGTGCAGCCCTGATACACTGCACATCAGGGCTGGTCCTTCTTAACCCCACTATGCAAACAAGAACCCGAGCTGCAGAGAGCTCTCTGGCCCTGGGGAGGCAGGAGTGGTCTGGGGGTGTCAGCAGGAGGGCCCTTTTGTCATTGGGTCACATCCGTTTTCAAGGCCCCCACCAGCTGTGGAGAATGGAGACAATTCTCAACATTTTCTAAACCTGCTGCACCCGGCATCGCTCCAAATTCAGGGGTGCACTGAGGAACCACAGACACTGCCCCCACCCTCAGCTTCCTCTGGACAGGTGGGGGGTTCTGCAAGCTGCACTCATTACCCTGCCCTGTCCCCTGACCAGCCTCCCCATTCTGGCCCCTGACTCTGGCGGTGGGGGCTGGGGAGTGGTCCTTTCACTGGTCCGTGTGATTGGCAGGGGAGTGGGCTTTTGACCATGTACAGTGCAGGAAACTGGTTTGGGGGATGTCCCCTTTTCTAGAACTGCACCCTCTCAGAGGCAAAGGGTGGTCCTGGCACCCACTTCCCTGACCACAGACAACTGGACCAGGGCCAGGGGTGGGGAGTAGGACTTGGGCTTCAGAGGAGAGAAGGCGGCCTTGCGAGCCCTGTGCCTGGTAGCACCTCCTCCCTGAGCATGCTGGAGTGCCAAGGGCTCCGTTGCGAGCCTCTGTCACTCTTACCTGCCGGCATCCCCACCCCCATTGGACAGTTGCCCTGTGGGACCCTTCAGAGAAACACCTTCCTGCTCAGTCCAGGTAGGCGAGATGAGCCAAGGAGGACTCCCCTTCTAGGGGTGGGCCTAGGCCTTCTGGTCAGGTCAGCACTTCCCCTCCCCCGGTGCACTCGGCTTGGGGACATGGCCCAGGTCAGGCTGACAGGACTCATGGGGCAGGGTTGCCCTCCGCTGGGTCTGTTGACTGTAAAGGGTAGTGAGCCTGAAGTTGCCTGGGGCTGTCACAAGGCATCACGGGGCCAGAGGCTGAGTCAGGACACGGCCAGCTCCAAGTCGGCAGAGCTGTGGGAGTGGGGAGACGCTGGACCACACCTGCCTGAAGCTGGGTGGCCCTGGGCTGTCTGTTAAGAGGGCCAGGGAATGCACACTCTGCTTAAGTCTCTTTAAGTTAGTTTTCTGTCACTGGCATCAAAAAGTCCTAGCTGATACATTTTTGCTGACCAGGACAGAGTTCTTCCAGAGAGAGTTCTTTGGGTTTCAGCCGCGGAAGAACCCCACAGAGCCACAAGGAAAAGCCCACACAGGAAAGACCCCACGCACGGGGCCTGCCGGCGGCTGTCCAGTTTCCTGTGTCCTGCCCAGGATGCCCGGCAGGTGAGGGCTTCCCAGCCCCCTCCCTTGAGTGAAAACACTCAAAACCTCCGAATCTAAAACAGCACCATCCAGCAGAAACACGTGTGTCCTGTGAGCCATTCCGACATTTTCTAGTAGCCACGATAGAAAAGTAAAAAGGAGTAGGTGAGGTGAGGCTAACACTACATTTTACTTAGCCCACTACATCCAAAATTTTGTCATTTCTGCCAAGAGGGGACATAACTTGCTTCCCACCCCCACCTGCCATCCTGGTAAGGAGAGGAAAGGAGCAGAGTGCAGAGTGAGCCCTGGGTTGCAGAGCCCAGCTCATGCAGAAGAAGCCACTTAGGCCAGCCTGGAAAAAAGACTGCACGCTGACACGGGAAGTATCTTTAGGACCGAGACAGTGTGCACGGCCCGCTGGCCGCCAGGATGGGCTCCCGAGAACCGCGGGACCGGCTGCGGGAAGCAGGTGCTGTCTGAATAGGTTTTGGGCGTCCAGGTCACCAGCGGTTCCCTGGGTGATGGAATCAGGGATGGTGACTGTTACCTTTTCAGGCCTATCCGAAAGTCGTCAACTTTTCATTATAAGGAATCACTAATTCAATAACAAGACTCATCACATGAGGCACTTCACACGCTTTCCCTCGTCCCAAGTCTTTGCCACCGCTCGCTCGTCTTCCGGAAAGCCGACGGGTGGCGCGCTCACGCCGGCCGGAAGAGGGCAGGGCCCGGGCAGGCGCGTTTGGGAGCGGGCTCAGCGCCCACCCCGCCCGCCACCGCCCGCGGGGTCCCGGAGGGTCTTCCCCCGGCAGCAGCCCCGCCGCGCCCGCGCCCG